CACAAAATGGTTTAAAATTCTGTATCTCACAGTAAACAATTTTGGGAAAAAAAGAAAAAAGAAAAAAAAAAAAAAAAGATACCAAAATTATCAGATGATGTCTGTTGATGAGCATTTAGAGAATAATTTCCAGATCTTCTTTGGTTGGATGAAATGGGAATTGAAAATTTTGGCCATAACCCAGTGGATCAATTATGGAGAAGAGACAGATGTGCTTATGGTTAACAAAACAATATCCACAGTAAAGTGCAGAGGTGGAAGTATCCTTGTTTGGAAAGTGATTCTCTTTCAATGATATGGGGGAGGGCACTACATGTGATTGAAGGAACCAAGAATGGAGTGATATATCAGTGTATTTTGAAAGCTAACTTGGTCATTTCAGAGCAAAACTTCAACCTTGAAGATATTTGGATCTTTTCAACATGGTAATGATCCAAATTGAAGTGCAAGTTATTGGTACAGAAAATGGAATTGGCATATCAAGTTCAAATTCCAACCTGTCCTGTTGTCCTCAAATACTTTGAGAAAGGCATGAATTCATCTCTTCTCTCCCTAGCTATGGGTTAAATAGCAAGGAAAACTGGGCTCTCAAGCTTTGAGTGGCAACCCGTCTAAAAAAAAGGAAAACTAAATTCAAAACTGTGGTGAAGGCAATGGGAAAACACTCCACTATCTTTCCCAAGACATTATGGAAAAAGCAATCTGTAGAGAGTTATGGCAATTTAAATTTAAAGTAAATATAAGCATATGAAGAAGATTAATTACATATTTTTCAAGTGCCCAAATATTTCTTTCCCTACCACTGTAACTGATCAGGAAGCATTGCAAAATAACTAACGAGTTCAAATCCGAAAGAAAACATTCAAGTGATATACTTAAAGCATTTAGTTTTTTTAATTGAAATTATGCCAAAAAATAGAATTACTCAGTGTTTCTATTACTGTTATGTTACAATCATTATTACTGTTAATGTGTGTCTGATCTCTGTTTAGAATAAATAGCAATAAATCTTAGAGTAATGATCATAGTACCATTTTCTAAGTAATCACTACCTGGAGCCTGTTGTTAAAAAAAGTTTATATTTAGAGTGGCAATCATAAAGTATTCAAAAAAGATCTAGCTGCTGCTTGCTATGCAATGCAGCAGTATCTATCATTAACAATGCTATTACTGCTGCTTATGCAAAAGTAACCGATGACTCACTCCACTCTACACTTTCTCCCTCTATCACATGACAACTTAAGCAGATAGCGCAAAGGAAAGCACCAGGATTCATACAATTCACTCCTGTGAATCCTGTAATATCAACACTGCAAAAATACAATTATGCTCAGCACACTTCATTAATGATTTTGTTTACAGGGATTTTTTTTTATGTGTACACAAATAGAGCAATGATACTTAAGTTTTATATAAGATGAACAATGCTCTATAAAACATCAATATACAAATGTATTTCATATACAAAAATATAAAATCAGTTAACAACTATAAGCAATGATATTTACTGATATTTGTTTATTTGTTTTCTTCAGGTATAATTAGCTAACTTAGAAAAACAATGCAAAGTTTTCCTGAGTAGAATTAAGTAAATAACACAATTTGCCCTCTCTTGTTCTAACAATGAAAGTCTTTTTATTAATGCAAATTTTAGTGTCAAGAGATTAATGTCCTGAATAGTCATCTAACAAGGAGGTTTTTATGCAATTCTCTAACTGTAGGCTACCCAAACGGAAACTATTTCAGAATTCCACTATTAATTTTTTTAAGGTAAAATGTTTTGTTGTATAGATTCTACCAAAATTTAGTTTAAAGTTTTTCTATTCAACTCATGTGTAACTGTTCTTATCACAAATGCTGATAAATGAATAATCTAAGACAAACCTTAAAAAAACGTCTAATTATTTAACCAAATCAACATTAATTTTTTCTTGATTTGTTTCAACATCAAAAAACAAAGATTAAACAATTTTTTGAAATCACTGCATTCATTTATAAAGTTATTGATGTATATTAGATTATTTAGTTGAAAACTTAGAAACAATTTTCATCAGCATAAAATTATAAAGAAAGTTATGTTGCATTAGAATCACAGAATAATTACTATACTACATCTGAAAATGAACTGAAAAGGATTTATACTATTTCTACACTTCAAGTATTAAATTACTCTAAGAAATATTGTATCAAAAACAAACTCAAAATGTTTCAAAACTAATATTAATTAAAATGACAACTGTTAATGATTATCCCTAACTAAAAATGACCTAAAGATGACCAGAATATAAACTACAAGATTATAATAGAAAACTAATTAAGTTATATTTTATTTTATTGAGGAAAAATTAATCTGTTTAACAAAAGTATTGAAACATTTTGGAAAATGTCTTATGATGATGGCATACAATTAGATTTGAAAATTCATAAAAATTTTCTAAGTAGAATCACATCTGAGAAATGAAGAGATTCTGGCCTGAGAAAATTAGTCAACATAGTAAGTTTACATCTGCTGCTAACTAGTGATAGTGAGTGAGTGGCAGGATTGATTAGAAATCTGCTAACGTAGAGCATGATTACTAGCAATTAGGCCAGAAGTATTTGGATGATTACATTCAATTACAGCAGAGAGGCTCAGAGTCAGCAAATATAATTATTCATCAAATTAATGCAAGCTAACTTAGGCACTAATTAGTAGTTGGAATGTTGATTCTGTACATTGATCATTAATTTCAATGCAAGCAGAAATAGAAATGGAAAAAAAAAAAAAAAAAGAAAAAAAAAGGGGGTTTATTCAGTTAAAAATACCAAAATGAGAAAAATAAAAAGGAGAGAAAGATATATAGAGAAAAAGAAGGAGTCAGAAAGAACGGAATAATGGTGAGAAAATTAAGAGAGCAGGAGAAAAAAGTAAAGTATGGAGAGAGAGAGAGAGAGAGAGAGAAAAAAAGAGTAAAATATGTAGAAGGGCTATTACAATGTAAATGAGATGGGATGCAATAAAATAATGAAAAAAGAATGAAAAAGGCATGTAGAAGGATTGAAGACCATGGAGATGCACTGTAAAGCATAGGCAAAGGGGAAATGATCTGGCTGTAGGAAGGTTAAAGCCAAACAAGGAAACCTGGATTTCATGGGAAGAGACAGATTGCAATGGAGAAGCACAGAGGATACAAACAAGGGAGAAAGCTCTAACCCTGGAGGTGGACATTCTGCAATAAAGAAAGTACCAAGGTGGTGGAGAAATTGCAATGGATGGGGGCCTAAGAGGAGTGTGTGTAAGAAACTGCAGTGGAGACCAAGGAGCAGGGAGCAGGTGGAGGAAAAAAAAAAAAAAAACAACAACAACTTGCAATGAATGGATGCCCAGAAGGGGTGTAGAAGGCACTGCAATGGATATAGGCCCAGAGGAAAGAGTTGAAAGACTTGGGGGGGGGGGGGGTGAAAGAAACCACAATGTAGGGCGGCCCCATCAGAAGGGGACTGAAGAAACTGCAATGAAGGAAGGCCCGACTGGAAGGTGGTTGAAGAAACTACAATGAAGGAAGGCCCGACTGGAAGGTGGTTGAAGAAACTACAATTAAGAAACCACAATAAAAGAGGCCCAGGGTTCATTGATGGTAAAAACCATAATGGAGGGGCCAGGAAGGTCATTGGGAGGAATAGACTGCAAGAAGGTCTAATGGTAAAAAAAAAGCGTGAGATTTGAATAATATATTTTTATCTGAACCAAAACTATTTTGGAGGCAGCAGTTATGGATAAGATTGAAATGTGAGTTCAAAATACATTACAATGAGGCTGATTTTTCCATACAGTATTGAATACTATAGTAATAACGAATTTCATGAATGCAAGTGTAGCATTCAGTCTATGACATTTGAAAGGAAGAATAGATAGGACTGATGATGGATGGAGAAAAAAAAAGTAATGAGGAAGGAAGGAAAGAAAGCTAATCTGATCATCTATTATGTGTTTTACTGATTGTCAATAACTGCTTCAATGGCCATTCTCCAAGCAAGCCAGTCAGCTCATAATTTAATATCATGTAATGAGTGATCAAAATAATGTTATTCTTTGCTGCTGTATTTAATTAAATTTACTTGTAGGGCAAGATTCCAAATCAAGATGAAGAGATCTTGAGAAACAGCTCAAGCGGCAACAGTCATCATTGCCATTGAAAAGGAGTGGAAGGCTGCAGCAAAAGAATTAACTGACATGAAGTAAAGAGAGATGAAATAAATTTGCTAGTCTTATAAGTATAAAACTGATTTGATCAAAGACTTTATTTTAATTCTGTACATTCTAAGTATATAAATGGACAGCTCTAAGCAGTTACTGAGCCATGCAAAAACGGAGCTCATGATATGTCACAGATACTATATCCTCTCCAACTGTGGAATACTTTATGTGGAAGAAAGTAACAATGGTTTCAAGTAGAAATCATTTCCTATAATCTTGAAAGTTTACACCATGTGACTTCAAATACTTGAATAGAATAAACAAATGCTAAGTGTAAAAGGAGCATGAAAATTAAGATCACTTTATATTTTGTTCCTGTTAAATCCTTAATTGTATATTACAATAAAAATGAGCAAATGAATATAGTCTATTCAGCTGTGATAGGACCTATGAAAATGATGCTATTTTTGGCATATTTTAAGTCAGTAAATATTGCATACTTGTAGAAAGAGATTATGTCAGTGGCAACCAGAAAAAAGATATTGCTTCATTTGGAAACAGAAGCTTTAGAAATTAGTAGATTAGTTATTTTGAAGGATGTAATAAATCCATATTGTCATTTTGCATGCACACATTAATAATATTCAATATGCTCATGAGTAAAAGTATCATTTATCAAAATAAAAGAAATAAATGCAGAGTCAAATACAGAAATACAATGTGTGACTAAACTGGAGCAAATTTGTTACAAAACATTTTTCTTAGCCTGTTTTGTATTTTCCATTAACAGTTTACAAAGTAGAGTGATATTCCTCAGGCTTACCTGGATCCATAAAGTCAACAGACTTAAGTAAGGCGACAGGATGGGGAAGACCTGCAGGTGATGGTGTGGAGTAAGTGGTAGAATCTGTCGGGGTGGCATTTACATACTCTTGCCCTGAAGTCTCATTGGGGTAGCCCATAGTCACTCCATTAGCTGCTGCATATGCATATGATTGTTCTTGAAACCTGAAAAATAAAAATTCACATTAAAACATCTATCATATTTTCACAAGGAAGGAAATTAATATTGGAGAGCAACAAGATATATCTACAAATCATCTATTAATAACTAAAGTCAGTCCGTTTCATTGCATCAAGATGTTAATCTGAGCTAAAACAGAAAAATAGATAGAATAAGAGTACAGCTGGTGTTTGCTATTTGAAATAAAATATGCAAGACTGTATGAGATTGATTGATGGTAAATAAATTGTCCTTGCAGCTGTTGGAAAGTCAAATGTGAACATCTGACTTGAATAAAGTTTTGTTAGAAATAACCTGAGAGAAAAACAGGAACCACTGAATGTCATGGAACAGAGTGGGAAAGCAAGTCAATGAATGTTTATAGACAATGGCTTAGAATCTTATCCTGTGATAATGGAAAAATGTTTAATCAAAACAGCAAAGTGGATTGTAGTTGACAAAAAAACAGATCTATAACTGAAAAAAGGAGGGACAACAAAGAGAAAGGACACTAATTTGAAGTAAATAAAAAATACACAAACAGCCATGAATAATTAATGAGAATTAAATTTATATAGAAAGTTTTCCATATGTTCTTTGAGAAATGAAGAAAATAAATTAGCAACCCAAAATAGTAAAAGTAACAGAAAATTAGAAAAACACCTTTGTGAAAGTTTAAGAAAATCTAACAAAAATGAAGACTATTAGGAATTTATATATATGCCAACTGAGTCACTGAAATATATATATACAACTATGAGCAGATGAATATGTACTTTCATTTTATATATATATATAAGGAAATTATAAGTAAGATCTAATATACTGTATATACTTGTGTATTATGCAACCTTTGAAGACCTAATTTTGAAGCTAATTTGACAGTAAATTAATATATAGTTTGGTCATTGGTGTAGCCAGGGCCAGCAGTACATATGCTAATTTTATATCTTGTGTATGATGTGACCCCACTTAAGATTAGTTTCAAAAGTTGCATTGTATATACAATATGTGCATTAAGCTAACAATATTTTGCACCATCATATAGGTGGTTTGAATGTGAATTAGGCAGTGTAGATACCTAAAAATTATGGTAGCCAACTTATGCTAGTATTGAATGTTAAGAAAAAACTCTGAATAAAATTTTTATTATGACGTATATTAACTTGTAAATAGTGCAGCTCTTAAAATGTAACTCAATCTTTTTATATTATAAAGATGCAGTGTATTCTATTCAGCTCAACTGTATATTCCTTTTATCCAATAGCAATATCTTAAAAAGTAAGTTTAACATTATTTGCTCTCAAACTTTGTATAATATATTCAAGAATTTACATAGCAAACTATTACTAGGAAGAAATTGTTAAATATTTTTCTCTAAAGGAAATTACATTTGGTATTTTCTTGTGTTATACCAAAATGAATTCTACATTTCAGTTTATCATATTTTAATTATCTTTTTTAATTACTTTTAAGCTGTTATGTATATTATTTTTATATATGAGCATCAGAGATTTCTTTTGAGAATCTAAATACGAAAGTGATTTTGAAACAGAAGAAAAAGAAACACTATATGCAAAGAATGGGAGGGTGTGGAAATGTATTTTAACATTAATAAAAGTAGAGAAGAAAAACAAAAAAAATGAAATAAAATACTGAACCACAAGTGAGAAGATATCCAATTTATGTCAAAGGGCCATATTTATGAATACATAAACAAATTTGTAATCAGTTATTTTCTTTGTGGAATTTTTTTACATCCAAAAAATTTCCCACTTCTCATCCTCATTATAATTGTTAAGTTTATCAAATCTAAGGAAATTTTTATAATAGTTGAGCTAATTTCAAAATGTAAAGAATAAAAGCTATAAAGAGAGAACCAGTCTTGTCCTATTTTCCTTCTTTCATAAATGGATCATTATAGCATTCAGAAAGTCAGAAATATTAAAATAAAATCTAGTTTTTAATGAAGAAATAAAGGCAAACACTTAAATTTTAAAAAGAAAGAAAATAGCAATTTTCGAACTTCTTTTGGGGAGAAATCTATAACAGAAGTATGTTGGTCTTTTAATAAGAAAATTAAACTAATAGTTAAAAAAAAATCTTCTGTCCTCTCTGGCTTCTGTAATTATAAAATGTTCCCCACAAAATAGAAATTATGTGATTGTATATATCAATGTGCATACATTTCCAAGTGACAGATTAAATGAGCATAACTTCACAAGAAACAAGAGAGAGAAATCCAGTTAAAATTCTTCCAGTGGAAGGAAAAGAAATTTTTTTAAAGAAAAATTCTTCTGATTTGAACATGAATTTACTTAAACTTCTGCCAACAGTTTATCCTCAGAATATGATAATCTAACTAAATGTTCAATAATTTCAGTTTTAGACTGAATTGTAGCCTTATAACGCAAAATCAAAAGTAGAAAATTGTGAATTATTGGTATAGCATTGAACACAAAAAGCATAAAACAAACAAAGTCCCTGCTTAATTAATAAAACACAAAGAATTTATTTTATGAAGAAAAAAAAAAAAAAAAAAAAGAAAAAAAAAAAGGATTGAAAAAACAATTTTAAAATACAAATATACAATGTTAACTACACTAGGAATTGTGCAAATTTGTTTATATTTACATTTTGTTTGTGTAAGTTGCTCATTTACATTTTAAGATAAAGCCAACATTTTAATCAACTATAATATTGTTATATATATATATATATATATACACACACACACACACACAACTCCCTAATAGAAACTGCAAATGTTCTCCATAGATTTACCTTGGAGGAAATATAATTAATTCACTTTTATGTAATTCTTCAGCATGTATAACACAGTATTTTGTAGAATTTGAATAAGGAGGCATCCATTTTTTTTCATCATAGATGCTATATCTAACAAACCTATTCACAGATGAGGTTCCATTAGTAATGTTATACAATGTCAAAAATAATCTTTCTTTGGAGACAGCATCAAAATGAACAACCTGACAAAATACTGACATCATGTATGCAGACAATACATTTCTAATTAGAATTCAGAAGACATCAAGATGAAGATTTAGCTTTATATAAATTTATTCCCCAGCCAGATCTAACAGCTGTATTGAATGTTTTGAGGAACTGGTTCAGAACGCCATTAAAACCAAGGATCTTATTCAATTATCTAGATAATGCTTACATATTTTTGCTCCAACTCTTTTGCATCATGTAAATTCCATTAAATCAACAATACAATTCACTCTCAAAAAGAAGCTTGATTTTATAGATGTGCTGGTGACCTACATTGTGTAGGTCTGAGATCTGTTATTTAGAAATCTAACATACATGAAACTATAATTTAAAGCTCTCATTTGTATTAACAAAGGAACAGTATGTCCTCAACATTGGGCACTTACAAGTAGTGAACCTGACATCCAATTATATAAATAAAAACATACCTCTAAGAAATTATTGATTGAAAAAATTAGAAGCTGTGAACAGAAACTCATGTGATATCAATTATGAGGTAATACTGAAACTATTTTACAGATAAGAAAGAATCCAAAGAATCAGTGGCCAATAACACGTACAGTTTTCAAGAATAAAAGCTACTCTCACAAATTCCTCACAAAGATTGGACTTCATTACCAAAACTGTATATACCATACAGCTGTAATGTAGAATGTAAGAGAGAAACCAGTTCAACCTGAAGAGCATTGAAATGTCATGATTCAAGATGAACTCCATGCAGTTGAGCTTGGTTGAACGTAATTGAAAAGTAAATGGAGCATATTATTTTCTGTGAAATGAAATAAAAATAGTAATAGGAGCACAATATTGGAAATTATGAAAAAGTTGAATAGAGATCATCGTACAATAAAAAAAAAAAAGGTTAATAAGTGGGTTGACCAGCATGAAAATATTTGAAGCTAATATTATCACTGTAAACAGAGAATAGATGCAGAATATTAAAGACATGGCCTAAAGACATAATGCAGCTGAACTACCAGAAAAGAGAAACATGTAAGTTGAGCAAAGAATTTCATGAAAAGAGATTTCTCAACAGTAATTTTTATTAATGAATGAAGAGCTACATTAGATGGACATGATGGCGGGATTAAAGTTTTTATCCAGTATATAAATAGTCACCCAACACAATTTAGAAGATAAAAAGAAAAGGGAATAATGTTTGGACAGGCATTATAGCAGTAAAATTATAGGTCCCTTCAAAGTTGATGATGGCATCAAGATAAATGCAGAGAATTATTTTAATTTCTTGGGTAAGACAATTTTTGAATGAAACAGGTCACAAGCAAGAATCTTGACGCTAAAGAGTATATTCATGCATGACAATGCTCCTTCAAATTCTGCAAGATTGACTATTGATCACCACGATCAAAAATAATTTTAATGATAACAAATTAATTGAAAACCCTCAACATCTCTAGATAGTAATCCAATAGAAAATGTACAACCTATCAGTAATAGATGTATATGAGAATTGTATTCAAGAAAAGATAACTGGGAGGCATTAAAAACTACTGCAAATAATACAAAACAGAATGAACAAAGGAAATACTGATAAAGGCTATACTCTATAAGCTTAATCAATATAGGAGACCATATTAATATAGAATAAAAATTATTCAGGTATATAAGATTATGTAAAACATTTCTATGGCTCATATCTTTTAGATTTATTTATAAACATTTATGTTGTGCTTAGCTCCCAAACAAGTTATCAATGTTTTTTTAATAAAAGATAGAAATCCTCATGTATATCCTCAGAAATTTACCAATATTGGTTGTTTTATAGCAATTTTATTATGAAAAAATTAACTTACATCAGAAAATCTGATAATGTATTGAGAAAAGTATCAAGTGTTGGTCTACTCTAGCACATATACCTGGAATTTTTCAGTTTAATCTATAGACTACCTCTGTGTCAGCAGGAATTTCAATAACCTTTTGTAATAGGATTCTGTTCTTTACCAACAATGATTTATATACACCAAGTAGA